TTCAGTCAGAGCAGGTAATTTTTATATTATATATAAAAATAAAAATGGAAATTAAAATAAATGTCACACAATATTAGTGACAACATCGGATTTTTCTGTCTCTATTTAAATTATAAATAAAATTGTCTATTGCTGTTAAATTATTTTACATAGAGAAAGATAATAATTATCGTATGTATGTGTGCGATGTATTAAGTATGATTTTTGTTAATAGTAACTGTACACAGGTGCCTGAACAAATTCAGTTACAACGACAAGAGCAGCAACCAGAACGACAGCAAAATTTGTTAGGAATCGCTTACTCGTCTTCCCCATCTGTAGCGCATGTAAAGGTTTCCGGAAATGGATACAAGTTCAACTTTTAATGCTAAGATATAATATTTATTGTTTCATACTGTATATAACACAAAAATAATTCTTATTTATACAGGGTATCTCACAATCTCCGTACAATATTTTAATAGCGTATTCTAGAGGCAAAATGGAGTATATCAGCTGACCGTTGCATATAATATTAATACACATAAGAAACAATAAAATTAGCTGTGCAGTAAAAATCAATATTACCTGACTTGTAAAATCAATGACAGATGACAGAGATCGGTATGCATGTATATGTAGTTACGGATCTGAGCGCGCGAGCTCTACGCGATATCATTGGCAAACTTTGATCGTTTATAACTCAAAAACTATTGCAGCCTCAAAATTTTTGTATTAGAATTTTTGACTCTATTTTATCTCTAGAATACACTATTAAAGTATTGTACGGAGGTTGTGAGGCACCCTGTATAATTTCTAAAACATATACTTGCAAAACACGAGCGCATTGATATTTATTATAAAAAGATTTTACAAATAAGAGAATTTACATATATATTTTGCATACTCAAGTACTTCGTATAGCGATCAAGCATAATATTTAACAATCACTCACTATAACTATTTCATAGGAATAAAATTAATCAATCTATACAAAATTTATAGATTTTTTTCTTCACTCTTAATAAGATTTTCAAGCTCTTTATAGGCGTGATATAAAATTCTTACTGGTGTATATTATCAATTGAATATTTTTACAAAAGTATATGTATCATTATTGATTCAAAATGACAAAAATTATCCCCAGAAGGCCCCGGGGGGATTCGAACCCCCGATCTCCTGTTTACTAGACAGGCGCTTTAACCAACTAAGCCACGGCGCCTTTAAATTTTCCCTGAAAATATTAATTTCTTCAGCAGTTGCTTCATATTTAAACTTTTAATTATATGTCGATTGTCTTCATAATGTATTATAATTATGTTATATATTATTAGTTATTTATGTAATATTATATATTACATATTATATATGTAACTGAATCAGGGTTATTGTTAACTGGATAATTTATGATTAATAACGGACATAACTATAAGGATTATAAAAGATTTTCAAAACATATAAACAGGGGATTGCAATTGTATGGAATAATTGTATTATCGAAGCACATATCAAAAATAACACGTAAGACAAATATAATTGTATATAATAAAACTTAATTTAAGTGAGATATTTTTAAATACAGAATATTAATAAATGGAAAGAAAAATAACGAAAGTATAAAAAAAATTTCCTCCCCGACGGGGAATCGAACCCCGGTCTCCCGCGTGACAGGCGGGGATACTAACCCCTATACTATCGAGGAATTTTTAATTCCGTATTGAAAATTTGTAATATATAGTTAATTATACTAAATATATATACATTTTAAAGTTTTTAACAATTATGCAAAATATTTAAAACAAAATTTTATATTGTATTTTAATTATCTTATATTACGATTTGATGTATATTAATTGTACATATTAGAATTATAATAGTGATAATAATCATATTTTATATATGTTATTCCATATTCACAGATGAACACAATGAGAGTGAAAACAAGTAACTCCGATATTTTATGTATAACTTCGAAAACTATAATCGCGTCATTTATTTTATGTGTATGTGCATGTAATTACTTATACATACACACACACACGCATACTAAATCTAGTTCTCCATTTTTTCAAAATAAATTAAATAAAAATTACATACACTTAATATTTGAACTGTCAATACTTCTATGTACAGAATAATGAGACAAACCAATTAGCGTAAAAGAAAAAAAATAATTGTTTAAAAAAATACATTGTAAATAATTACATATTTTTTCTTAAAAATAATTATTTTTTTACACTAATTGATTTGTCTCATTATTCTGTACATAGAAGTATTACGGTAAGATTATGGAAAACTAAATATTTTACGAAATATTTTATTTTTTACATCAAAATATATCAGATTAAAATATAAAATAACACAAAAAGTACTTAATGAAAAAATACTTTATTATAGTGTTTTGAAAAGCTCTCGAGATAAGCTACAAGAATATGCAATAAAAAGTAGACGGTTCCATTTAAAAAATTGAAGGTCACCTTCACGTGACCTTTAAGCAACTATTCAAGGTCCAATTAATGACACCACCTTATGTCCCCCTCGAAACCGTACAACTTTTGTCTGAAACATTTTTTTCTAAAATGCATTGTTTACGAGATATTTGACCGTTTATTTGTATGTGGATTTGTCAATTTTAAGTGTGTTTATGTTAAGAGTAAAAATCGAGAAAAATAAGGTGTATTTTCGTCATTTAATGCTCTTTTATTTCCGGAAAGGAAAAGATGCTGTACAAACAGCAAAAAAGATATGTGCCGTTTATGGAAATGATGCCATAGCTGAAAGTACTGTTCGCAAGTGGTTCGCTCGGTTCAGAAGTGGCAATTTTGATTTGGAAGACCGAGAACGTTCCGGCAAGCCTGCAATCGTTGATGATGATCAAATCGTAACGCTAATTGAAAATAATCCACGTCACACGACACGGGACATCGCAGAGATACTCCACATATCTCATATGAGCGTTGTTAGATATTTAAAGACATTTGGATACGTGAATCGTTACGATATTTGGTTGCACATATGTGATTGAATAAATCTATGTACAAATATTTAAACATTGTCTTTGAATCTCACTTAAAAAACGCTACGAACTTATGTTCCGACCCAATATATATATAAGAAAATAGAAATATTTTACGTATTATGACATATATATATATATAATTGTAGGTTTTATTTAAGAACAGATATTTATTATAAAAGAATATAAAAGATTTAAGAATTTAAGGAATATACCAATGTAGTACAACTCTTAACTGACGGCGAAGGACTAACTGACGCTCGCTGCTGCTCGTCCTTTTATGCCCGGAGAGTAAAGGACGCCGACAGAAGAGTAGCGCTTATCTTTTCGGACTCGCGGCTACCCTATGATCTAGCCGCAATACGTCAAAATCAAAGAGTGCGCACGCGATAACAAAAATCTCTCTTAGCGGCGGCTCGCTAAACGATTCGTCGCTACTTTATGATCTAGCCGCAATATCGAATGCGATACTACGCATGTCGGTACATATAATACGTACTTAAATCCTACATCTCGGCCGTCCTGTAAGACATTCGTCCTCGAATATTAATTGTGATTTTCTATTCTTTATTTTTCGGTTCCTTCTCCGTCCTTGCTTTCAAGTTCATCTGTATTATCGAAATGCAACCAAGGTTTCATATAATCGGCAGAGTTTCTTGCGGTCCTTCATGTTTACCTATTTTTGCAACTGTATACCGATTATTACGCATTCCCTTAGTTACACGATAAGGGCCTAAAAATTTACTACGAAATTTAAGTCCTGGACCGAATTGAGTTCTCTTAATCGCGACAAGATCGCCGTCCGCGTATTTTAATGCTACTTTTCGTTTTTTGTTAAAAGTCTTTAAATTTTCTCTTTGGATCTCGGCTATTTTTTCTTTGGCTTCCTGTCGGATATCATCGCGTTCCTCTTCGAACATTCGCGCCCATTCGCTTTCGATCATTTCGCGTATTTGTGTATCTTCTCTTAATCGCATGTGAATGCCAAACATTAATTGGAACGGTGTTCGGCCCGTGCTTCTGTTCGGCGTAGTGTTTAAATATCTCTGAGCAGTATCGATAAATTTAAACCATTCTTCTGGTTTTGGGGCCGACAATTTAGTTAAAAGCGGTGTAAGGGTACGGTTTACCCTTTCGACTTGCCCATTACCTCTAGGTATTCCCGTGGTAATAAGAAGATGCTGAATTTTTTCCTCGGTACAATATTCTTTAAACGCGCTTGATGTAAACGCCGTACCGCGATCTGATATGATTCTACGCGGGTTTCCAAATACAACGGATTGTTTGCACAAACGGTCGATTATTTCGGCAGCATCGGTCGATTTCGTAGCATATAACCACACGAATTTACTAAACGCATCAACTATGACGAAAATATGACGGTAATTTTTTTTTGTGCTTAGCATTGGACCTAAGTGATCCACATGATAGGTATGTAACAGAACATCTCCTTTATCAATTACATTCAAGAATCCTTCTTGTTTACCTTGTTTTCGTTCTGCTAGAATGCAAATTATACAACTCGTTACTACTTTTTCGATTTTCGATTGCATAGTCTTAAACCAATAGTCTCTTCGTACAAGCATTTCTGTCTTATTAACGCCAAAGTGACCTTGCTCATGCGCTTGTCTAATTATCGAATTTTGTAACGTCTTAGGTACTACTAACAATAATTCACCATCATTATCTCGATACAGTAAATTATTTCTTACTATATAACTGTCGACTTTATTGAGTGTCGCTAGTTTAAGGATTTTTTGCAGATCTTGATCGGTACTCTGAGCTTTTCTAAATCTAGCGATTAGACTATCATTACTTTCATGAACAAGCAAAATTTCCGGGAGGGGATTTCGACTTAGTGCGTCGACATGCATCATATTTTTCCCTGGCCTGTGCTGAATTTCATAATCATATTCCTCTAATGCAAGAGCCCATCGAGCCACGCGGACGCATAAATCTCGTTTGTTCATTGCTAATGTAAATGCTTTACAATCGGTAATAATTTTAAAATGAATGCCTAATAAATATACTCTAAATTTTTTCAATGCTTTGACGACTGCAAGTACTTCCAATTCATAACTAGTATATTTTTCTTCAGCGGGAGTAGTTTTCCCGCTTGCATAATAGACCGGATGGAAAGCATTGTCTAAATAATCCTTTTGCAATAATATCGCACCGTAACCAAATTTTGAAGCGTCTGTATGTAATTCCGTTTCGGCTCCGCTTTTATATAATTTTAAAACAGGCTTATTGATCAATGCGAGTTTTAAACTTCGAAATGCTTGTTTTTCGTCTTTACCAAACCGAAACTCTATATTATTCCTCAAAAGATTTGTTAGCGGTCGTGCTATCATTGAGTATTAATAAATAAATTTACGGAAATAACCTGTGAGGTCGATAAAACTTTGTACATCTTTGACACATCTGGGGACCGGAAATTTCATAACAGCATTAGTTTTGCATTCCGCGGGTTTTACAGTTCCGTCCGTTACGATATGTCCTAAGTATATAATTTCTGTTTAAATAAATTTACACTTTTGCCAATTTATGTGCAAACCAGCTTGACTTGAAACTTCTAATACGCGTTTTAAACTATCAATTGCTTGCTCAATGTTCTGCGAAGGAATAATTAGATCGTCCATATAAGTTAATACGATTCCTTCAGAAATTAAATCTTTAAATACAGCATTTATAAACTTTTGGGATATAGCCGGAGAATGGTACAAAGCCCGAATGGTATCCGTATGAATTCGTATTGACCTGTTGGAACAATGAAAGAAGTATGCTTCCTACTTTCTTCGGCCACTTTAACATGGAAAAATCCATTTTTTAAGTCAATAGTACTAAACATTTTCGCGCCTTGCAACCGGTCTAACTAATCCTCGATTATCGGCAACGGATAATGATCTTTTATGATTTTCTTGTTTAATTTTCGAAAGTCTACACAGATTCTTGTGTCACCATTCTTTTTTTTAACTAGTACAACAGGGCTTGCGTACTCGGCATTAGAGGGTCTTATAATACCGTCGTCTATCCACGTTTTTAATTGTTTATCAACTTCTTCCTTTTCCGATGGAGACAATTTACGCGGTCTTTGGTAAATTGGAATATCATTTTTCAAAATTAGCGTCATTTTAACACCGATTTCACGCGTTTTTTTAGGTTCATAATTTCTTGCAATAACTTCTACTTCGCGTCGTAAGTTTTTATCAGAGATATATGAAAAGTCAAATGGATCTGCGTTTTCTATTATATCAATCTTTAACACCTCAGGTAACTCTGTGCTACTTGCGTGAATTGATTTTTCAGGAATTTTTCGGATAACTACCTGACCTTTTATCGAATGTAATTCAACTAGATTCAAAAAGTCAGCACCAATCAAGATTGCATGTTTCATTATTTCATTATCAACGACATGAAATACAATTTTATATGTTTCATCGTCAATAGCAACATCTATTGCAAAAGAGCCGTACGTACTATTATTTAATGCGCCTAAACCGTCAAAATTTATTTTATTGTTTAATTTCGGACAACCTATCTTCTCGTAACAATCTCGATTTATTAAGCTCAAATCGCTGCCCGTGTCTATAATACTAACAAAATATTGATTTGCGACTTCTACTTGCTTTACCTGCTTTTGTTGTGTGTTCTTAACAATTACGCACGCGGCTTCTTTCTGTACACTCACTGTTCCCTTACACAATTTGGCTATATGTCCGTATTGATTACACTTGAAACACTTGACGCCTTGGTCTTTCATCGGGCACACTTTACCCAAATGATCTCTGCTACCACAGTTGAAACATCTTTTCGTCGTCGTTGTATTCGTGTCCCCTTGAGTCATCTTCTTCTTTTCCTCTGGCTTCGACTGCTTCGTCTTTAATTTTCTTTCTTTCCTTATAGCTTCATATTGAGTGAATTTTTCTTTTAATTCACGTATTGTCTTTGCTCCGTGTAACACTGTTTTGTTAACTGCATCGTCTTGTATTCCCTCGATAATGTATCGAATTACCGATGGTGTATCGACGTCGGCTTGCGCGGCAATTTCAAGCATTTTATATATATATGCTTGATATGATTCGTCGGATGATTTCTTTCGTCGTAATAACTCTTGATGTACTGCATGACTGTCCACGATATTAACAAATTCTTCCTTTAATGCACGCCGCAGCTTCTTCCATGTCTTTGTGCATCTTTCATGTTTAACAAACAGTTTTGCTGACCCGCGAAGAAGACGTTTTGCGTATGCTACTTTTTGAATATCGGACCACTCGCACAATGCAGCCATTTCTTCGAAATCTTTGATCCACATCTTCACATCAACCTTGTCATCTCCGTTGAATGTCTCTAAGGATTCTTCAACATCTCTAAATGTTAATAATTGATTTCCTCGGGCCCTTCCTGTGTTTTGTCTTCTTTCAGCAATCGGCTCTTCATCTTCGTCGCTCAGACTTGTGTCGCTTTCGCTGCTGTCTTCTTGTTTTCTGCTTGCGTCTTCATCAATTTTATTCTTAACTTCGCCGTGTTGTTCTGTTTCACCGTGTTCGCGCTCGAGTTGCATAAACAGTAACAGTCTTAGGATGAGTTCGTTTTTCAGTCCTGCCGTTTTCAAATTTCGTTTTTTCAATTCTTGTCTTAATTGAGCTGTCGTCATGTCCGTCAGCTTCGCATTCAGATCGTCGTTTGCTGCACTGGCACTTGGTTCCGTCATTATAGTTATGTCTTAGAAAACTTCTTAAAAACTTCTTAGGCACTTCTTATGGTCGTCTGCTAGCACTACACTCTAGGCTATAATCCCGGCTGACCCCCAATTATTTGCAGGTTTTATTTAAGAACAGATATTTATTATAAAAAAATATAAAAGATTTAAGAATATAAGGAATATACGAATGTAGTACAACTCTTAACTGACGGCGAAGGACTAACTGACGCTCGCTGCTGCTCGTCCTTTTATGCCCGGTTAATATTAGCCTATCGCTATAATGTACAATGTAGGCGTAATACACACGACATAATACATAGAAAACGAGAAAATAAAATCAGCTGTGCAGTAAAAATCAATATCACCTTAAAAAAATACATTATAAATAATTACATACTTTTTCTTAGAAACAATTATTTTTTTTTACTAATTGATACTCGCGCCACCCGCAAGCATACATAAAAAAAATTGTATTTTACATAATCACATATACACAAATTACGTGAAATATAACACACATACACACACTACACTTACCTTATTTTTTAAAATAAAAAACAATAAATTGAAACCATGTGATGTTTTCTTTCCCAATTTGTTCCTATATATTCTTATATATTAAATTCATTGTATATATTTACTAATTATTAATATATACGTACTAATTACTAATATAAAAATAAAATTCAAAATTTTTGCCTTAGGAAAAAATTGCTTTTCTATAAATATAGACATTTATAATTATAAATTATAACAATATATTTATCAGCTAAGAATTATATGAATATTACTATACTATACAAAATAAAATACTAAAATAAAATAAAAGAAGAAAATAGTACTAAAATTAAATATTTTCTAAATAGCTATAAATATTGTACTGTCAATTGTCAAAAAAATATTGTTGTGCCTCTAGCCGCTAAGGAAGAGGTCTTTAGGGATTTATACGCCCAAAGGATTAGCATGTCCCTGACCGGAGCATGTCTCGTGCTCCGCTTGTCAGTCTGTCTCGTCAGCTGTTTACTTAGCTTCCGAGGACTTGACCGTGACTTCCTTCTCTTTAGTCACGTATCTTTACTTTATTTTATTAATAATCTTTTATTACTTTTATTCTTTCTTAATTACTTTTCCTTGAGCTTTTTCCCTGATTCTAATGCTTTGCTTTAATCAGCTTTTTCTCAATCTTTTCTGTTCTACTTTACTTGTTTTATCTTTTAATATTAAGAAATCGGTCGATGTACTCGAACCTCCTCCGATTCGTTCCGGATTTGTAGATGTTCGCGAAAAAAATAAAACGAGATGAGAAGAGTAGAGGTTCCCTCGCGCGCAGGGCGCGACCAAGGCGTTCAACCGCGAAGCAAATGTCCTTAACTCATGCGACATTCTTGGATGGATTTTTCACGCCTGGTGCACGCCATTTATATTCCCAGCGACGCGGCGCTATACCCGACGATCTGATACCATTCAAATCAGATGTTTTATGCGCTATGAAAAAGACGGCAAAATAGAGAGCGTGAACGCAGGCGCGGTGAACATTAGCATTATTCATTAATCCGGTATAATAACGCAAATCGAGGCGCCCGCGTTGTGCATCAGGCTCGTCAATCTCTCGGCGTCAATAACGAGCTCGGAGCTACTATTTACTTTTAATTACTCGACTAGTTAATTATTGACGTTCCAACGAAGGCCCGGCATGATCGTCGCGACCCCTCGTTGCGTTGATCCAAACAATCATAACAATGAGGTAGCCAAGGGTGGCCACTGGTCTGCACAGATGCCATTCTCCCTCGCCAACCCCCCTCGCTCTCCCCCGCCACCCTAAGGTAGCCAATTCTATCGACCGAGGCACATCAAAGTTGCACGCGTATCGCGTATCGGCTGCACTCTCTCTACCCCCTTTGCGCCGAGGGCGAAATTATGTAATCGGTAGCCGTTACGCCCTCGTCGCGGAACGGGGAAATTGATTGCGCATGCAAATAAAGTGCCATTATCCCGTAGCGTAGACCCGAGCGTGTACACGACTGGATCTCTCTCCTCGAGGGGGCTGGATGCTCTGAAACGGCTCCCCCCCCCCTCACCGCCACCCTCTTGAATCCAGAAGTGAGTTCGATTTTCCTGAAAGCGGCGATAAAATATAGATGGAAGATACGGCCGCTCGCCGCCGCCGCCGGAGAAACGTGATGCGATTTACCGCCTTACAATAGCACTATTATATTGCGGATTTTATTACAAATAGTAAATCATAAAATTACTTAAGTCTTACTGCAATAATGTCGATCACATCAATCACCAATTTTGAATTTAAAAGTACCCCGTGCCAAACTGATTGACTTGTTTTAAAATTAATCATAAGTTTTACCAAAGGCCCGGAACGAAAAGGATTAAGATTAAAGTGACATACAAAAACTTGGCGTGCCCAAGTTGCATTATAAGTCATACATTTTTATTAATATATTGATAATGATTTCTGATAATCTTTAGCAAATTTTTGTTTCAAATCGGACACGCCAAGTTTTTGTATGTCACTTTAATCTTAATCTTTTTTGTTCCAGGCCTATCAGGTAAAGCTTATGATTAATTTCAAAACAAGTCGATCAGTTTGACACTTTTAAACTCGAAATTGGTGATCGATGTGATCGACGTTATTGCAATAAGGGTTAAGTAGTTTTATGATGTACTATTTGTAATAAAATCCGCAATATAATTGTGCTATTTTATATATTATATATAATATTTATTTGGGGGGAGGGACATAATAGCGTAATTTTATAAAAATAAAATGCATTTTAATTTTCTCGAGAGAATCTATAATATTTCTATAAATGCAAGACTGATTTTATCAAACAAATACTATTTTAAATTACAAACTCTTACAAACTGAACTGCTTCTATGTACTTGGCTAGTTAACTTGATTTTATTTAATTATTTGTATTATAATTAATTTTTTTATAACTTTAATTATATTTTATTTGTACATGAAAAAAAATAATTATTGAGAAATAATAAAAGTTGTGCGCGAGTGAACCCGGGAGCGCGAATCGAGTGAGCAACGGACACGAAATCGTTTTTGTAAAAAAGCAGTCAATTTATTAAATTCAATAAATAGTTCACAAGTCTTTTGGCGATAAGATTTATTCTAATCTCCTTAGAGAGCTTTTATACAAACGTCCTTTAGACTGTTCGAGAACCTTCTACGTGTTTTCCGCGAAAATCGAGCCTGCTGTTGTTTGCGATGATTATTTAAATTTGAACGATGTTATTTTGTATTTGTTAGTACTTTAGGCTCTCCCGGGTGACCGCTGCGTGGCCCGCATCGATAGGCACGAGCGATGCCGCCGGCCTGGCGCGATTCGTGTAGCGGTGTAGCGCCGCTGTCTACTCGCGCTCTGATTTGTCGCGCGCCGTGCTCCGCGCGAGATGGGCGCTAATGCGCCACTTATTGAGCGCGCTTACGCTGCGCTTTGTTATGACAATAGCTATGAATTATTGTTCGTTCGGTTTCGAACAAAAGTACTTACATAATTTATCATTATATGGTGCTGTAGGTCGTCAATATCGTCATTCCATGCAACAATTTGCACCCGTTTCCCTCTTCCATTATTCAAATAAAATTTTAAAAATTGATATTGTTGTTTTATTCCAACATATCGTGGAGACTTTATTCCATCCACGTAGCCAATAATTTCGCCGTAGTCAGGGTGTCCCAGATCATTTGGGACAATACTCGTGCACGGAAAAAAAAATTTTCGCTACCATAGCTAATCATGGTTTGCAAAATAAATTTCTAAACTACAGCAAAACGGTTTGCTGTTGCACTTAATAAATAGGTGTCACAGCTAAGATGTTCGCTATCCATATATTACGACTGAAATCTAGTTACCACACGCAGTTTTTAGCTACGGCAGCTAATTTTTTTTTCCGTGTGTGCAGATAGAGCGGACCAAACTGAGTCGGAAAATCCTCTATCATTTTTTTTTTATAACGCTTAATAAAGGAGTTATTATTGAGTTAAGTCTGGCCAATCAGCGCCAACCTTTAGCCGGGCGCACGTCG